ACAAAACATATTTATTTACAATAAGTTGCTCATACACTGTGAGCCAATCTAGTTTCTCAAAGAGAGGTTGTGAGGGCGCATCAGAAAGAGCATCTAAAATACATCTTGCAGCGCGTTTTTGAAGCTTATATACTCTCTCAAAATTTGAGTGAGATGTATTACCCCAAATAGTTAGACAACAATCAATTGAAGGCATAATATATGCATTGTAAAACAGCTTGCGGGTTTGAATAGGAATAAACCTTTTAATTCTACGGAGGGCAGAAATTTTACGTGACATGTTTTACAAACATGTTCAATATGTACATTGTATTGTAACAAGTTATCTAAAAAAACTTCAATAGTTTTTTTTCATTTGATACAATATCAAGTTTTTTGGTTGATACAAATAGATTAATTCAAGCTCAGAAAAAATTGATATCTTGTGATGCGTACCAACTAACATGCATTTGGTTTTTGTAGCATTTAGAACCATTTGATTTTGAGAACACCATTTTTCTATAAAAGCTATATCCGTTGATAATGTATCTACAATAGTTTGACAATCTTGACTTGCTGCATGTAAAGTGGCATCATCTGCAAATAATTCTAATTTGGATTTTGTAATACATAAAGGTATCATTAATGTAAAATAAAAACAGAAGATGACCTAGTATAGATCCCTTTGGAACTCCCGCTGTGACTTGCTGATAAGATGAATGCTTGTTGAACAGATGGACACTTTGAAGTCTCTCACTTAAGTATGATCTGAACCATTGTAAAGTTATTGCATCAAAGTTATATCATTGTAGTTTTTTAAGTAGAATATCATGATTGACAAGGTCAAAAGCTTTACTGAAATCAAGAAAAACAGCACCAACAAGTTTACCTTGGTCCATTTCATTTTAACATTCATCGGTAATTTTTGTAAGGGCTATTTGGCAAGAATGTAGTTCTCTGAAGCCTGATTGAGAAACTACTATAAGATCAAAATCTTGTTTCTGTAGAAGTTGAGAATTCCCTTGTCTAAACTTTAGTATACTGAGTATGTCTTGACACGTCTTGTACATGATTATCCTTAATGTCCCGCGTATCGATGGCTTTGGTTTTTCTAGGTGCTGTGCAACACAAAAAGGCTAAGGATCTAATTATCTTCAAGAAGCAGTTGAATATATGTAAGGTAAAATGAAATACTTTTAAATTTTATTAGGTCACCTGAGTAAACTCAGGTGACCTATTGCTATCCGTTTTCGTCCGTCGTCGTGTGTCGTGTGTCGTGCGTCGTGCGTCGTGTGTTAACATTTGAACATTTTCAGCTTCTTCTCTGCAACCACTGCACCAATTTCAACCAAATTTGGCACAAAGCATCTATGGGTGAAGGGGAACAAAAATTGTGAATTTCATTGTCCCTGCCCCCCTGGGGCCTGAGGGGTGGGGCCAAAACCACTAAAATTAATGCAATCTTTAAAAATCTTCTTCTTTACTCCTGGACATCAAGCACTCAAACTGTTTGCATGATTGTAATCATCATTGAATCCTCTACCAAAATTGTGAAATTCATGGCCCTGGGGTCAGGGGTTCTAGTGCTAGGGCGGGCTAAATAAGTATGTAGTGAAAATGCATTATTTCTTTAAAAATCTTCTCTGCTCCTGGGTATTAAATAAACCAACTAAGTACATAGTTATGATGAGAAAGAGTGCCTCTACCAAAATTGTGAATTTTATGGCCCCAGGGTCAAGGGTTCTGGTGTTGGGGGGGGGGCTCTATTGATTATATAGTGAAAATACATGAATTCTTTGAAAATCTTCTTCTTTGCTCCTAGGTATTAATTAAACTAACTAAGTACATAGTTATGATGAGCAAGAGTGCCTCTACCAAAATTGTAAATTTTATGGCTCCAGGGTCAGAAGTTCTGGTGTTAGGGTGGTGCTCTATTGATTATATAGTGGAAATAGATGAATTCTTTGAAAATCTTTTTCTCTGCTCCTAGGTATTAAACAAACTAACTAAGTGCAAAGTTATGATGAGAAAGAGTGCCTCTACCAAAATTGTGAATTTTATGGCCCCAGGGTCAAGGGTTCTGGTGTTGGGGGGGGGGGGCTCTATTGATTATATAGTGGAATTACATGAATTCTCTGAAAATCTTTTTCTCTGCTCCTAGGTATTAAATAAACTAACTAAGTGCATAGTTATGATGAGCAAGAGTGCCTCTACAAAAATTGTGAATTTTTTGGCCCCAGGGTCAGAGGTTCTGGTGTTAGGGTGGGGCTCTATTGATTATATAGTGAAAATACATGATTTCTTTGAAAATTTTCTCTGCCCCTGGGTATTAAATAAACCAAGTAAGTAAATAGTTATTATGAGCAAGAGTGCCTCTACCAAAATTGTGAGTTTTATGGCCCCAGGGTCAAGGGTTCTGGTGTTGGGGGGGGGGGGGGGGGGGGGGGGTCTATTGATTATATTGATTAGGTATAAAATAAACTAAATAAGTACATAGTGATGATGAGCAAGTGTTCCTCAACTAAGATTGTGAATTTTATGGCCCCAGGGTCAAGGGTTTTGGTGTGTGTGTGTGGGGGGAGGGCTCTATTGATTATATAGTAAAAATATGTGAATTCCTTGAAAATCTTCTTCTCTGCTCCTAGGTATTACATAAACTAACTAAGTGCATAGTTATGATGAGCAAGTGTGCCTCAACCAAAATTGTGAATTTAATTGTGAATTTAATGGCCCTATCATCAAAGGTTCTGGGTAGGGGGGGGGGGGGGGGGCTCTATTGATTATATTGTGAAATTACATGAATTCTTTGAAAATCTTCTCTGCTCCTAGGTATTAAATAAACCAACTAAATGCAAAGTTATGATGAGCAAGAGTGCTTCTACAAATATTGTGAATTTTATGGCCCCAGGTTCAGGGGTTCTTGTGTTAGGGTGGGGCTCTATTGATTATATAGTGAAAATACATTAAATCTTTGAAAATTTTCTTCTCTGTCTCTGGGTATGAAGTAGATGAACTACCTATATAGTTATGATGAGCAAGGGCCCTAATCTTGCAGAATTGTTAATTTCAAGGCCCCAGGGTCAGGGGTGGGGGGTGGGGCTCTACTTAATATATATTAGAGAGGTTGAGATCTTAAACTTGTACGTGTACATGACTTGTAGATCTTTTGACGTACACGTACACGTTATGTTTAATTTGTCTGTTGAGATTTTTATGACGTGTAACATGTACGTTTACACCGCGATCAGTGTTTCTGTTTCTTCTATTTAGAAGGTTTTTTTGTCGTAAATATGTAAACAAAACTTGATAAAGATAAGTGCTCGTGAAAGTAAACATCCTATAAAATGTATAACAATCACATTTTCACACTTGAATTGGCTAATTTTTATCATCTAAGCTACACGTTTTCACTTACGTGTAGATTCCATTCTACAAGTTTTACGAACGTGTTGCAATCTTGACGTCACTAAAATTGATGACGTAATACACAAAGAATTTAGGTTATTCCCCTCCTAGACGTACCCGTACACGTACACGTATGAAATCTCAACCTCTCTATTGGAAATGAATTAACTGTTTGAAATCTAGTCCTTCGTATTTATAAAACATTTATTTACTTTTTGATAGGCAATTTTAAGGATGCCTTTCAAATTTGTGCAACCTAGGGTCATGGGTTTATGTCAGAGTGTTAGGGGCAATACTGATTATTGATGAATATTACTGATTAGTTGGAGTGCATTTTTGTTCCCCTACCCTGCATATGGGTATTCAGTAACCAAGCTAAGCGACTGCTAAGTTTATTGTTATGATGATCAATGGTGCTCTTTCAAAATTGTGAATACCATATAGCATCTGGCTTAAAACATGTTATTGAATCAAATTCAATACACTGTAACTGGAAAGTTGTTGCATAATGCTCAGGTGACCTATAAGGCCCGTGGGCCTCTTGTATAAAATATTTGGAAATCTTCAGTACCTGGAAAAAATTTCATGTAGTTTTCGAATACTTGCGATATACTGTAATTTCAACATGGTGTATTTTTTTGTATCGATTTCTTATACATGTATGTTAATTCAACTTCGTTTAACTTTAATTTTGTATGTTCAACTTCAAGATATACTCGATTTTTGCAATTTTTGTGATAAATATGGCGTACAAAATGATTTACAGTAAAATACACAGAATGCTAATATTCGTTTCACTCGTAATGTTTGTTCAAATACAAAACAATTTTTAATTAGGGTATTTTGTTTCATTTTGTTTTGCCACAACTCATGCTTACTAACAATTTATACTATGAGTATAGCGGCACGCACCTACTTCTAGCATCAATAGTGAAATGGCATGGATCTAGACCTATATTTCGTTCACAGAAAAAAGATGGAAAGAGTAACTGGTATGAGTTCATTTAATGAAACTGATGACAGTAAACCTATGATTAATACCGCAAATCACGATTAAAGGGTTAGAGGGATCTAGGCCTTTTGTCAAAACTTATGTTTACAAACAATTCAGCATAGAGGCACTAGCGCCCCATCTGAAGTTATAATCATGCAATCAACATTAAAAACTTACATGAATCTACGATGTATTTGATATTTTTTCAGCCCTAGAGAAACAGTATGGCAAATATTAAAAAGATTTGCTTTTTACAGAATACTAGCTATTATGTCCTTGTGTAAAGGACATTGGAAGAAAAACACATGTTGTTTAGTTCACTGTTTATTGGAGACTGCATGGTCATCAGTTACAAGATACTCATGCGCTTAAGCATCACATGATAAAAGTGCGGGAAATCGAAGAGTGATTCGGTTATCAATACAATTATAGAAATAGTTCCAGTGATTTACATAAACATAAGATATAATGATTTATAATTTTGAAATATAGATATTACATCCCTCCTTTTCTTAGACAAATAAATTCATTACTGATAACAGAAAATATTAAACCAGAGAACCATTTTATATAAAAGAAAATAAAAGTCTATTAAACTACACAGTCAATAATTCACATAGTGTCACTTAGACACAAAGTCTTTTAACGCAGTAGGTGTTTTGATGGTACGACCAAATCTGGTGACGTACGGTTTGGAGCTGTTTGCTGTTTGATTCGCGACACGTATCTTTGGATTATTTAGGCCAACTGAGGGCGGCGTTCCTGGTACGTTTGGTGACGAAGTTGCGTTCGACGGTATTTCCGTGCCGGCCTTTTGTAACGCTACTTCCTCCTCCTCTTCCAAGAATTCAGTCTCGGGTAAAGGGGCGTTGCTCGGATACGCAATTGGCTTAAAGAAAGATGAGTTACGCGTAACACTTTTCGCCATCCTATTGGAGCAAGGGGATGCTGTAACCATTGTTCCTTTTGTGCTTGTTACAACGTGTGGTTCAGGGTTGTATGCTGGAGTAAGTTTATTTCCCGATTCGTTCTTTAACAGCACAGTATCTCCACTTCTGACCTCTTGATTCCTGTGTTTGGTCTCCGATGTAATTTTGCGTTTTGCGTGTTCATCCTGCTGCCTCGCTATTTCATCTAGAGGTCTGTCTGTTGGTCGTGATATCTGCGGTAATTTGGTTCTCGTCTCCCGGCAAAACATTAACGTAAATGGGCTCAATCCTGTCGATGGATGTGGAGTATTCCGGTACTGCCTGAGGAAACGAAATAGCTCTTGTTTCCAATTTTTCTTTTCGACATGAGCAGCTCGGACTGCCTTCATCATCGGTTTGTTAAAGGATTCTGCCTGAGCATTCGCCCGTGGCCAACGAGGTGTGATTTTGCGGTGATGAAATCCCATGTTCACTGAAAATTCCTTGAATGCCGCAGAGTTAAACGGACTTCCATTATCTGACTTCACGACCTTAGGTATTCCAAAGGTAGAAATGACTCTATCCAGGACAGGAATGGTAGCATTTGCTGATGTCGATCGCATTATTTCGACTACTGGATATCTAGTGAATTCATCAGTGATCACAAATAGGTATTCACCTTCTGGTAACGGTCCACAGAAATCAACGCTTAGGTTTTCCCATGGTCCATGTTTCATATCGGACATCTTGAACGGTTCAATTCGGTTAGGCCTATCGGTAACACTCTGACAAGGTAAACAGAATTTGAGCGAGTTTTCCACCAAATCGTCTAGTCCAGGGAACCATACCTTTGAGCGTAGAAGTGCCTTGGTGCGGCTAATTCCTTGATGCCCTTCATGAGCAATGGTGACGGCATGTTCACGAAGAGATTTGAAGAGGACTAAGCGACCCTCTCTAAGTAAAACATTATCGGAGTAAACAGCCAATCCATCTTGAACGTTCCGTATAGCCTGTAACTCTAGCAAATCCACATCTTTGTCCTCCAATCGTTTGATTTCATTCCACTTTCCTGTGCGCACATAGTCAATGGCCTTTTGCATTGTCTTGTCAACACTGGTTGCTCTTTTAACTTCATCCAAAGTTATCGCTTTAGGTACGGCTTTTTCCGCAATGAACTTCACATAGTGTTCAGCTATATCCTCTTCACGCGAGAGTTCTTGTGTTAAGATAGGGTGTCTTAATATATAGTCAGCAGGGTTAACCTTCCCAGGACGATAGATGATAGTCATCTTGTAAGGTTGTAATCTGAGGCCTCATCTCTCTATCGTGAGTGGCGGTTTAGCTCGCTTCCATATGGTTTCCAATGGCTTGTGGTCGGTCACAACTTTGAAGTATGGCGCGTCTCGTAGGTACATGTCAAAATGTTCGCATGCCCAGACGATACCTAGGGCTTCGCGTTCGGTCTGGCTGTAACGAGACTCTGTGGGGCTCAACGATCTGCTGGCGTAGGCAACGACCTTGTTTTCCTGTGTGAGAATCGCACCTAAACCAACTGGGCTAGCGTCCACTATCAACTCAACAGTCTTGTTTGGATTATAGTACACAATCAAGGTATCACTTGACAAGAGTGATTTCAACTTGTCAAAGGCAGCATCTTGTTTGGCGTCCCAAGACCATGACAAGTCTGCGCGCGTCAGGCGTCTTAGAGGTTTGCTCACAGTCGAGTAATCCGGTATAAATCTGGAGCAATATGACGTCATACCAAGGAAACTTCGTAGTTCGCTAACATTTGACGGCTTCTGTGCATCACGTATGGCCGATACCTTTTCTGGGTCAGGCGATATTCCAGATTTGTTGAACACTAATCCAAAGAATGTGATGTGGTCACGATTAAACTCACACTTCGATCGATTTAATTTTAAACCGCTGGCACGTAACGATTTTAGAGTGTCCTCAAGTGCTTTATCATGCTCCTGTTGGTTTCTATCGAATACCAATATATCATCCGAAATATTCTTAGCACCAGACACAGTCTGTATGACATTACGCACGGTCTCCTGAAAAATCTCGGACGCGGACGAAATGCCAAAGTTCAAACGTTTATATCTGAAGATTCCTACATGAGTATTGAAAGTGGTAATGGAACGACTTACGTGATCCAACTCAAGCTGATGGTATCCTTGTCTGAGATCAAGCTTGCTAAACACAGATGCGCCGTTCAGATCATGTATGAGCTCATCTATGGTCGGCATTAAATGTCGTTCAGGGATTATTGCTTTGTTTGCTTCTCTCATGTCCACACATACACGAATCTTGTCAGGATTTTTCTTGGGGACGCATACAGTAGGTGACACCCAAGGTGTTGGTTCGTTTTCCACGCGTTCTATGATGTCATCATTCAGTAACTTTTGTAGCTCCGCTTCAACCTTCGGACGCAAATGAAACGGTATACGTCTGCTGCGCTGCGCAACTGGCTTCACTGAATTATCGGTGTGTATGTGAACAGTTTTGTTAACGAGCTTACCGATTCCTTGAAACACATCTTGGTACCCCCTAGTAACATCAGTATGAGACAGTTGATTCACGATATGTACAAGTTCTAGAGAACGGCACGTAGAATAACCTAACAAGGCTCCATTGCTCCCTCGGACGACATAAAACTTGTGTTGTTGCGTAATGTTCTTCCACTGAATGTCAAGTAAGCATGTCCCAATCACATCCAATGGTGCATTTCCTCCATAAGGCATCAGCTTGGAACCATTTGTTTCAAGCCTGGGCTGTCCCAACTTAAGGTAAGTTGCTTCGTCAAGGATATTTACGGACGCTCCGGTATCAAGGAGAAAATCACAGAATGTTCCGTTAACCTTGAGACACTGTTTTGGGCCTTTGCCGCAATTGATAGTATACAAATATTCTTCATCAGTTGAGGACACATTTTCCACATCTAACTCGCGAACGGCTCTTGTTTTGTGTTTCTTTGGATAACCTCCCTTGGCACCATTACTCTTCTTTGATCGGCATACTTTCTCAAAGTGATTTAATTTCTTACAATACCGACACAGTTTGCCTTTAGCTGGGCATTCTGCTGTGTGCGGATACGGTCCCCCGCAGTTTCTACACGTGTTTGCCGCAGCACTCCCGGTAGTGCCCTTAGGTTGACCTTTTGGCTTCTCACTCTGTCTGTTTTTAAATTTCAAACGGGGTTTGTTTACAAAATTCACAGCACGCTCACTCTGTTCCTCCATCGTTTGTGCCTGTGTTTCAGCCACTTCCATCGCTCGGCCTAAATCCATTAAATTCTGCAGGGTCATATCAGGTTCGCGTAATGCTCTCCTCCGCAGGCGGTTAGAGCGGCAGTGTTGAATGATTTGTGATAAAATTTCTTTGTTCACATCATTAAATTCACAGTCTTTAGACAATCTACGGAGCTCAGTTACATACTCATCAAGTGTTTGAGTGCCCGATTGCTTACAGTTTCTAAATTTGTATACAGCCATTTGTATGTTTTCCGTGGAGAAAAATAAGTAGACAGTACTTGCTTTGTCCCGACGTATGTTATCGGAGCATCTCCCTTTTCGGCGTTGTAAATATCAAATACCCGCTCTCCAGCGTAGTGTAGTAATAAGGGTCTTTTCCGGCCGTTGTCCTCAATGTTCATCCCAGTGAACAGTAGCTCGAGTCGTTCCATCCACTTCTCCCATTTGGGTCCTGCGTCCGCCTTGTCCGCGTATTCGAATGGTGGGAATTCCGGTAATCGATCCATTTTAGCGATGTTTTATCCTCGTCGCCAAATATTATGTCCTTGTGTAAAGGACATTGGAAGAAGAACACATGTTGTTTGGTTCACGGTTTATTCAAGACTGCATGGTCATCCGTTGCAAGATATTCATGCGCTTAAGCATCACATGATAAAAGTGCGGGAAATCGAAGAGTGATTCGGTTATCAATACAATTATAGAAATAGTTCCAGTGATTTACATAAACATAAAATATAATGATTTATAATTTTGAAATAAAGATATTACACTAGCAAAGCAAACACAGCTTTCCTTTTTAGTTCAATATGTTGTCTTCCTTTACAGTTAACAGCTTACGGCTATCGAAAGTAGTTCGAATATATCCATGTGCATCAATCGCATCACGATTCCTATTATTTGTGGTAATGACCGAGTAGTTACGTTTTGGTATTATATGTAAAAATGTCCTAATTTTGCAATTATAATATGCGTAGACAATGAATTACAAATGAATATTTGTGAATCCTACTTTTCTCACAAATAAAAAAAAAATGCATTTTATTTCACGATTTGCCTTATTTTATGAAAACTACTTTGTATATCGGAAGATTCTTTTTGAACGCTGTTTGCCTTTTTAATTAAATTGTCTTTTTATAGTAACTGAGGCGATCATGACACCTGTAGCCAGGGACATGCTTTCAGCAAGCCCGGCTAAAAAGTGTAAATTTTCCCACCCAGCGTATACCGTATGAAATGGGTAGTTAATAAATTCATTCTATATAATTCATTTTCATTCATTTTGTGTACGAAAGAGATTATTGTCTTTAAAAATGACTCCAATTTGTACAAAATATGAATGTAACCTTAGGCGGATTGATATGATTTTGACGCAAATCATTGTGACTTAGGCAACCCATTACATACAATATAACGCATTTTTTAACCCATGTTTACCCATTTATCCTGCGGGTATGACACATTTTTATAGCCCAGACGTAAGGGCAGTTATGACGTCACAATAGTTGTTGCGTAAGCGTGATGAGGTCAAATAAAGTAAAGTTCTACAAAAAAAGTTTAAAACATTGGTAGTGAAGTATAAAACATGGGGCGCCAAGGCTCCGGGATATAAAACACAAAACTCGTATGATAAAAGTCATATCCAACTAAAAATCATGGGAGATCCTATATTTATCAAATCAAATACAGCGTTACAACCAGAATTAAAATATTTTATGATAATTTGACGAATGATGAACATATCAAGCTAAAATTGTCAACACTTCTTTATTTTGTTCTATCTTTCTTTTCAAAATTAAAAAGCACAGACTACATAATATTAGTTTTTACCTTCGGTCCACGAACATTTTGATAACACCTCGTAAGTTTATCTTATGGTATTGCTCAAAGAATTTAGACAGAGGACTAAATTATATAGAGAGTATAGTAAGTGTAGAGTTGGTGCCAATAATTCTTTTAAAAAATGAAATGTGTGAATATTTTTGAAATCTAGTAAAAATAAAACAAAGGGGAAGCGTTGAAGTGTACATGACGGCGCGTATCCGTCTTATGACGTTATTCGACTACCATAGTTGCACTTTGCTTATATTTACATATTAGAAAAATATTAATCATTTAAATTGGATTTTTTTTCAGGACTGATCTGTAATAAATATATCTACGATCATGTACAATTTCGTTGATTTACGTCAACTAGCAGCAATTTTATCGAAGTTGTGACATTACTTTTGGATCAACCCTCTTATCATTCAATATTCCATTTTCTTTTTAAGAACCTGTTTCATAATTTTTTTCAGATTATTTCTACTACTGGTTGAACACAATTCAAACCCATGGGGACAATAGTGAACATATACTTTTTATTGGAACCCACGGAGACCAAAAAAGGTACACATTATTTTTTTATTTACAGTACTTTGTATACTCCACTAGAAAGAAATTTTCTATGCCAGTTTTAGGCTTAAAGTCTAGGTATAAAATTTCTTTTGTTTTCAAGATCATTTTTGCCATACAATTCGAATATATTGACATAAAAGGATACTGATTTTTCTTATTTCATCAACTTATTTATCGATAGCTTCCCTTGCAATATATATGCAACTTTTAGCGGAACACAACTCTTAAATTGCGCATTTGAATTTCTTTCTCCTGCTGGTGAGCTATTTTTTAAAAAAATATTTTGTGAGTTTTGAAGTGAAATTCCAGGTGTAATGTGTGTTAATACAGCTTGAGTTGTGTATGGGTTTTAAATTTAGTAATAATTACTGTTTCGGAGCAGAGGGGTCATGAGTATAAAACCGGGGCTGAAGTGGATTATGAGACCGCACGACGGCATTTGAGTCTTAGGTCGAGACGGGGGCTAAAACAAGTTGACGACGAAGGTGTAGACAGACAGCGTGTGTAGTGGAATTTGGTATAGAGGGGTGGGAATTGTAGTGTTGTCCAGTGGGAGACCTGTGAGTCCAGGGCTGGAATTAGAGGGACCAAGTATTCGTAGTATAGAGGCCCATAGGTGTAATGTTTGATATAACATT